CTTACTAGTATATAGAACGACAGAACTAAACAATCTACGCCTATAGGACCTCTATCACTTACTAGTATATAAAAGGCCAGAACCAAGCAATATACGCCGCTAGGACCTATATCACTTACTAGTAAAAAGAAGGAAGGAAATTAACAATGCATGCCGCTAGGACTTATATCACTTACTAGTATAAAGAAGGACAAACTAAACAATGTACGCCGCTAGGATTTTTATCACTTGCTAAAATAAAGAAGGAGAGAAATTAACAATGTACGCCGCTATAATTTATATCACTTTCTATAATATAGAAGGACAGAACTAAACAATGTACGCCGCTAGGACTTATAACACTTACTAGTAAAAAGAAGGACAGAACTAAAAAATCTACGACGCTAGGACTTATATCACTTACTAATATATCGAAGAATAGAACTATAAAATGTACGCCGATAGGACTTATATCACTTACCAAGATATACAAGGACAGAACTAAACAATTTACGCCGCTAGGACTTATATCACTAACTAGTATATAGAAGGACAGAACCAAACAATGTACGCCGCTAGGACATATATAATTTACTAGTATATAAAAGGACAGAACTAAACAGTGTACGCCGCTAGGACTTATAACACTTACTAGTATATAGAAAAACAGAACCAAACAATGCCCGACGCTAGGACTTATATCACTTACTAATATATAGAAGGACAGAACTAATCAATGTATGCCACTAGGACTTATATCACTTACTAGTATATAGAAGGAAAGAACTTAACAATGTATGCCGCTAGGACTTATATCACTTACTTTTATAAAGAAAGCCAGAACCAAATAATACAGGCCGCTAGGAATTATATCACTTACTAGTATAAAGAAGGACAGAAATTAACAATGTACGCCGCTAGGACTTATATGATTTACTAGTAAATAGAAGAACAGAACCAAACAACATACGCCGCTAGGACCTTTATCACCTACTAGTATAAAGAAGGACAGAAATTAACAATTTACGCCGCTAGATTTTATATCACTTACTAGTATATAGAAGGGCAGAACTAAACAATGTACGCCGCTAGGGCTAATATCACTTACTAGTATATAAAAGGACAGAACTAATCAATGTATGCCACTAGGACTTATATCACTTACTAGTATATAGAAGGAAAGAACTTAACAATGTACGCCGATAGGACTTATATCACTTACTTTTATAAAGAAAGCCAGAACCAAACAATACAGGCCGCTAGGAATTATATCACTTACTAGTATATAGAAGCACAGAACTAAGCAATGTACGCCGCTAGGACTTATATCACTTACTAGTGTATAGAAGGACAGAACTAAACAATGTACGCCGCTAGGACTTATATAATTTACTAGTATATAGAACAACAGAACCAAACAACATACGCCGCTAGGACTTTTATCACCTACTAGTATAAAGAAGGACAGAAATAAACAATATACGCCGCTAGAATGTATATCACTTACTAGTATATAGAAGGGCAGAACAAAACAATGTACGCCGGTAGGGCTTATATTACTTACTAGTATAAAGTAGGACAGAACTAAACAATGTACGCCGATAGGACTTATATCACTTACTAGTATATAGAAGGAGATAACTAGACAGTTCACGCCACTAGGACTTAAATTACTTACTAGTATAAAGAAAGACAGAACTAAAAAATGTACGCCGCTAGGACTTATATCACTTACTAGCATATAGAAGGAAAGAACTAATCAATGTATGCCGCTAGGACTTATATCACTTACTAGTATATAGAAGGAAAGAACTAAACAATGTTCGCCGCTAGGACTTATAACACTTACTAGTATATAGAAGGACAGAACTAATCAATGTATGCCGCTAGTACTTATATCACTTACTAGTATATAGAAGTACAGAACTAAACAATGTACGCCGCTAGGACTTATATCACTTACTAGTATATAGAAGAATAGAACTAAAATATGTACGCCGCTAGGACTTATATCACTTACTAGTATATAGAACGAAAGAACTAAACAATGTACGCCGCTAGGACTTATGTCACTTACTAATATATAGAAGGACAGTAGCAAACAATGTACGCCGCTAGGACTTATATCACTTACTAGTATAAATAAGGACAGAACTAAACAATCTACGCCGATAGGACTCATATCACTTACGGAGTACATAGAAGAACAGAATTAAATAATGTTCACCGCTATGACTTATATCACTTACTAGTTTATAGAAAGAAAGAACTAAACAGTTCACGCCACTTTGACTTAAATAACTTACTAGTATAAAGAAAGACAGAACTAAACAATGTACGCCGCTAGGACTTATAGCACTTACTAGTATATAGAAAGACAGAACCAAACAATGCACGCCGCTAGGACTTATATCACTTACTAGTATATAGAAGGAAAGAACTAATCAATGTATGCCGCTAGAACTTATATCACTTACTAGTATATAGAAGGAAAGAACTAAACAATGTACGCCGCTTGGACTTATATCACTTACTAGTATATAGAAGAACAGAACCAAACAACATACGCTGCTAGGACTTATATCACCTACTAGTATAAAGAAAGACAGAACTAAACAATGTACGCCGCTAGGACCTCTATCACTTATAAGTATATAGAAGAACAGAACCAAACAACATACGCTGCTAGGACTTATATCACCTACTAGTATAAATAAAGACAGAACTAAACAATGTACGCCGCTAGGACCTCTATCAATTGCTAGAATATTGAAGGACAGAACCAAACAATGTACGCCGATAGGACTTATATCACTTACTAGTATAAACAAGGACAGAACTAAACAATGTACGCCGCTAGGACCTCTAAGTATCTGTCAATCCAAGTAATTCAATGTCCTCGAAAAGAGAAACTGAGTATTTACAACGCTGAGACAGTCACATTAATTACTATATAAAAAAAAAAGTCAGCATTCATATAGAATGAATAACAACGTATCGAAAAGGCCATGTGATTGATCTGACGGACAAGGAAATGGCTCACAATAAATATTAATGGTCAATCGATTTGTATATGATATCAAATGTTACAAGTGTAGTGGTTAGAAGTGATTTCTCATCAACCGTGTTTCTATCTAGCCTTGGGCATGTAATATAGCCATATTCAGGAGACTTCCTCTAGCGTTGGAGACGAAGTCACTAACGCTTCACGTGTAATGTACACAAGTCTTGTTTTTATACTGAGAACATAGCTGTATAGGTTTTACATGTCAATAGTTTTGAGGATTGAAGACAATTTGTGTTCATGTTAGTCATTTAGTCACCATTTTATAATATTAAGCGGAAGCATTATTAATAATATTATAAACATCTTGGTATGGCATGACTCAGTACCTATCCTTCTCTCCGTAATAATGACATAAAGTTAAGCTCTGATATATGAATAACACAAGTCATATTGACATAAACACAAATTAAGTGACTTTTTTACAGAAATAAAAATAAATTATATTGTCTCTATTCAAAAGTGATCAGTTCGAACTAATATGTTTAAGTTTTGAAAAATTAAGTAGTTTTGAGAAGTTAAATATTTACGTCATAACTTTTTAAAACAAATATAACCTACTTATAGCTTCACTCCTGTAACAGTTGTCCTAAATGGTTCGCTATAGCTACCCTAAATATTTCATCATGATCTTTTGAATAAAAAAGCGAACGCAATAGTAGACCATGTAGCGTCCATTCCTGCAGGTCTGGAATCGAGAAAAGATTACACAGCCTGTTACAAACTGCATGTATCGTAAGAGGCGACTTTTGTGGGAACCCCCTGCAGGTTGTGGTTCGAGAAAAGATTACACAGCCTGTTACAAACGGCATGTATCGTAAGAGGCGACTAATATAAGAACCCCCTGCAGGTTTGGGTTCGAGAAAAGAAATCACATCCTGTTACAAACGGCATGTATCGTAAGAGGTGACTAATGAAGGAACCCCCTGCCGGTTTTGGTTCGAGAAAAGAAATTACATCCTGTTATAAACTGCATGTATCGTAAGAGGAGACTATTGTGGGAACCCCCTACAGAATTGGGGATTTGCTTTTGTGTCCTCTACTTGGGGGTACGAAAGTGACCAAAATAAACATATTTCAGTGTCTCACTAAATGAAACCCGTGATCTCTGCGTAAACAAATAAAATTAGATGTGTTATTGTTTTTGTATTTCTCTTTATTATAACGTTAGGGAGCTGGTCAATGTTTTGATCCTCATTCCTTACATGTATTTATGATCGTAAACAGTGTTTCAAAATGATGGACCACAGATCTCTGTATTTCCTTAAAGTACGATAAATAAATAAGTTAGCCGTTGGTTTTTCAACCCAACTGATATTGAGGTTTTTAATACTTTTTACAAGTGATACCATTTGTATTTCGGGTAAACGTATGAATAAATGTTAAACGCGCAAAACGACGTTTAACTTCGTAAACAACTTTAACGTAAGCACGTTAAGTTCTAGAAAGACGCAATAGCCGTATAATGTAGTATAATTCATATTGGCATCGGTATCTCTTAATTACTTTTAAAGCTGGAGTCACCTGTGTGTGAGTGAGTGAGTGAGTGTGTGTGTGTGTGTGTGTGTGTGTGTGTGTGTGTGTTATGTGCGTGAGTGTGTGTGTTACGTACATGTTTGATGCCTTTTACGCAATCATGTAATGGTGCAAGATTAACATTAAACAATTAAAATACAATTTTAATAAATTTTATACATGCGGTTATCGATTGATTCACTTGATGTTATGTGTTCAGTATATAAATAGTCCCTACGCAATGTTTGTAAACAGTGGAGGGGGTTGTGGGTCAGGAGGTGAAAAGGTCACGCGCATTGATCTGGTTATATAAACTGATTACGCAGCATCAGCTTACTACAGCCGCTGCAGACATCGCCTACAACCACAAAGATGGACACTGGGCAAGGTCAGTTTTGTTGTTTAAAGTACAATAATTTTTGAATCCACTTTTGAACGAAAAATGGATCAAACTAAAGTACTTGTTCTAGGGCACAGTTTTGTGCGACGTTTAGAAGCTGACCTTACTGGTTCATGGACAAATTTGGGTTTTGATAGCGATTTGGTCCGCGTCCACTGTGTTGGTCGAAGGGGTGATCGGGTACACGACATTTTATCAACCATGTCACAATCCATCGTGGATATCAAACCAAAAGTAGTTCTATTACAAATAGGAGGCAACGACTTGGATTCAGTTAATTTTACGGAGGTACAGGGACGTCTGGCAAGGGATTTACATTCTATCGCACAGTGGCTGAGGGAAGGTTATTCTGTTCGGGAAGCTGGAGTCATGCAACTTTTTTATCGGGCTAAAACCAGATCTATAGCGGTTGAAACCTACAACAGAAGTGTCGATGCAGTAAACAGTGAGATCAAACGTTTGTGTGAGGAATCTGAGGATTGTTTTTATTGGCGTCACAAAGGGTTGAAAACTGATGCATTCGACTGTCTCAACAAAGATGGCGTCCATCTTTCCCGCGCAGGGCTACGCAAGTATAAATACTCTGGACGTGGGGCGGTGCTTCAGGGCATACGATTGGCTGACAGGGATAAGAGTGAACCTCGTGACATTTCCTTATAAGGTTAGTTATACTATGACACTATTATATCGCGTTGCGCTTGCGCGAGGTTTGTTTACTTCCGCCCAGCTGTTTGCACCTGGTATGACCCCATTCCAGCTAACCGCTTCCTCGTCTAAATAAGTCGTTTCGCGACATTAGTTGATTACGGTGGTTTGTTTTCATATGCCGCCAGTTATGCGACGTTTCATTTAATTATTAATGGCTGTATCCACTTCATTTGTGCATTTATCCCATACGAAGTGACAGTTGACGTGAAGTTGTTTATAATTAATTCGGTTTCGGTTTCTAAGCCTCCAAATTCCCAGCCCTCAAACCAAAAACCAGAAAACCCCACAAACAAATTTTAAACCTAAGGCGGCAATGCTACCTACTCCTGTTAATTTTGACATCTTAAAATTATATTTGGAAGGGTACAATAAATTCAAGTTCAATGTCTAGAACATGGTTTTAAATATGGTTTTCGGTTACAATACAAGGGTTTACGACAATATAGGGAGTCGGACAATTTAAGATCAGCACGAGATAATTCAACAGTGCTGATACAAAAACTTGAACAAGAACTTAATTAATATTAATGACAATATTGCCCCTGAAGATGTCTCTGTCAAATACCAAACCATTTCAGATGCGATTGGCCTGATCAAATATTTTGGTAAGGGGGCACTGCTAGCGAAAACAGACATTGAAAATGCATTCCGTATTTTACCTATACATCCTGAAGACTACAGTTTATTAGGCATGAAAATTGGGGAATATTTTTATCATGACAAAACCTTACCAATGGGTTGTTCCATATCATGTCGTCTTTTTGAGACATTCAGCACAGCACTCCATTGGATCTTGGAAACAAAATTACAGGCAGCAGGCATTGTTCATGTTTTAGATGATTTCCTCTTTATAGCACCAAAAAATTCAACAAAATGAATTTTACAGATTTAGACAATTTTTTACAATTATGCCAAAACTCAGGTATTCCAATCAAACATAGTAAAACGGTTACACCCTGTACAACTATCACATTTCTGGGTATCGAACTTGATAGTATTCAGATGGAGGCTAGGCTCCCTAGGGATAAACTAGAAAAGATACACCTTCTTTTGGCACAATTCTGTCAAAAGCAAAAAGTTACCCTACAGGAACTTCAGTCATTGATTGGTTTGCTCAATTTTGCTTGTTCTGTAGTCTGTCCGGGTCGCCCCTTTTTAAGACGGTTGATAGATCTAACCAAAGGTTTAACCAAACCTCATCATCATATCCGACTCAACAAAGAGGCTAGAGCGGATATAAGGGCATGGCAGGAATTCATCCATTCTTACAATGGTGTTTCCATATTTCTACCTGACATCTGGGAGTCTTCCTGTCACTTACATTTTTATACAGATGCTAGTGGGCTAGGTTTTGGCGCAGTTTTAGGTACACAATGGTTTTTCGGAG